ATTTTTTGCCACTATATATATATATATATATATATATCACTATCTATGTTGATGAAAGATTTACCTCTCAAAACAATTGATACATGTAAGTTTAGATGATAAAATGTGTAGAAAACTACTCAGGTGTGAGTCTATAATGAACGAAAATGTTCGCAAAAAAGGCATATCAAAGCAGTTGAATGTGTCGAATGATATGGGGAATGATTCCTCTCTTTCGTTCAGAGGGGGTCATATTGAAAAAGTTTCCTTCGAACAATAAAATGTCCTAAGGTCATTTTTTATCTCTATTTGTGTATCATAGCAACAACATGGCTCTACACTCATGAGGGAAAATACTTGGCCATTTCCAAGTTTGCAGTATGATGTTTAGAGCAAGGTTTGGATTGGGCATAATAATCTATTCCATTTTTGTTAGGGATGGGGCTTAGGCTAAGTACATAAAATGTTTATACTATTTTATGTTTAAAAAATTGGTCAAATCAACCCAGTTCCTAGATTTAACTATGTTGTATTGTAAGCGTCCTATTTGGTTCGATAAATTGATTTAGTTTGCAAGTAACTTTTTAAAAAAGAAATGCCACCAATAACAAAATAATTGCTTTTATGTAAATACTTCTACATTGATTTTTCACCCAGCTAAGCATACTCTTAACATAACTGTACTCTTTATGGTTTTCTTGATCTTTGGAAGTTTTAAACAAGTGTTTCTGATTTATTTTTTTAGTTTTTGCTGATGAATTTATTTTCAACTCTAGAATTGTTCATCTCAAAATGATTGAAGATTATCATGTAGTTTATTCAAATGTAAAAATAATGCATGTTTTTTCAAACAACATATCGTTTTATGATGATATGCCTCATACTTTTTTCTTCTTTTCTTTTTCCACCCAAATTTTATTACATATTTTTGCATAATTTTTTAAGGTGTCTAGCATTCCTATCTTGATAATTTATTGTTTTGTAGAACCTTATTCACTTATGTAAAAATAGAGTTGTTCTTTTTAATAACGAAACCAAAGATAAGGTTAAGAGACAGGAGCAAGTGAACCTTTTGATCTCTCTTGTCAACTCCATTGTTGCGAGCAATGATGGAAAACCCTTCTCAATTCAAGGTAAACTTTGGACAAATCCTTCTTTTAGATATGTAAATTTCATCTTTCAGGCATGTAAATTTATCTGTGATATTATCTCTCATGTTTATTTAGGAAGAAGCCTTTCAGTGACTACAAATGGAGAAGGAGATCGAAGCTAATATGGAATACTTGTCAATGGAGTTATCTATTAAATAATTTGGGATTAAAATGGCCCAAAAATTCCAAAGATCATTTGATCTTGCACCAAACTTATTATATAAGACTTTATCTAGTTGTTGAATTCAATAGCAAAATAAATTATGCAATATACTTTTGGCAATGTCTTCCATTGCATTCTTCTATGATTTGGTTAAAAAGGTTTCCATTTCTAGTCCATGATTTAATAAAGTGAGGACAAATTTTGAGTGAATTATCATAATTCTCAAGATATATATATATATA